ATTTAAATTTTGTTATTACTAGAGAGCACCTAGTCTAAGTTTAATAAGAATTAAGCTGTTTTTATATTTTTCACATATATGTAAGTTTTGTGTAATATAGTAAAGTTAGTACCTTTTAGGTAGTAAAAAGATATCGGAAAACATATTCCCTATGAGTTGAATAATATAAAACTTTATTTGAATAATCCGATATTATCCAACATAACATATCTGCTTCAACATAAAAGAGTCTGTCTGTTTTCGAGGGATAAAAATGAGAACATTTGTAAAAATATTCAAAGTCAGTTCTTTATCAATTCAAATACTGAAAAACGGAAGAACTGACAATATGATATATATAAATATTAATATATTTTCTATATTTCACCCTTAAGTTCCTCTGGAATGAATCACATACCATATTTACTTAACATGAACCTCTGCCAAACAAATTGGTGTTATGCGAGTACCACACTGTCTACATATTCTATTATTGAAGTTTTTACTTCATTATAAACTCAATTAATGAGCAGCGATAAGAATAATTTCTAAATAAAATGAATAGTTCTGTGTCAATCGCAGAACTATAAGTATAATAGTGTAAAAGTATAATATATGCATATGTTTACGGTTATATGAACTCAAATTGAAAATATATAATTTCAATCATTATCACAAAGTATATACCGAATTAGTCTTGTTAAATAATAAAAATAATGTAGCTCATTATTTATTATTTAAATGAATAATAAATGAATACTGAGCACAAATAGTGCTCTAAACAATATAAGAAATAGGTGTGAAAACAGTCTAATGTGTATACTATAAAGATTCTATCTCTTTATATTATTTACCCTCCTTTTTATTCACCTAAGCTACTACCTAGCCACACCTAAGTATCTATATAAAATCATGATTGTAATAATTTCATTAACTAATTAAACTCAAACTAATTTTTAATTAAAAAGAAGTCAATAAAATATTAATTTATACTTATAGGTAATGCTGCTTGTAAATCCTACCAAAGCTGTTACTGTACCATATACAATTTGGAATATCATGACATCACGCGGCTTATTGCTTATTGCTTACAGCTGATTAGGTCTATTAAATTATGCTATATGGAGTCAATGTCGTCACTAAAATACTAGACCTGTCGGATTCTGTATCTGATGTTTTTTTTCGCATTTCATACGAATTACTAGTGCGATGGATGTTAAAAAACTCATTGATGAAATCGAAATTTATTTGACAAAATGTATGCGATAAAAAGAAGGAAATTATTTTTAATCCATTTAAATGTGGGCTTAAAATTTCGAATTTAGATAAAAAAAAGACTTAAATAGAAAGTATTATTAACGGGAAGTTTAACCAAATATGCACCTATCCAAGAAGAAATGTTTATGCAAGGCGAATATATGTTACAACCTCTCTAATGACAAATGAAGAGTGATTGTGAAAATAAAAAAGAACAATTTAATTTACAAAGGAAAAATGTACCTATATTTGTATTTTAAAATTTATATACAATATAAGAATATTTATGTCCCATTTAGATATAACTGAACGACATTACTGAGGATATTTTCTTAATAAAATAGAATACTAGAACAAGGAAAGTCACCAATGTTGCAAATTTTATTGTCCATTAAACTAGGGTTCTATCAATTCTGGAAAATAGTTTCATCGCTTATTATGGATTGTAGAAAATAAAAATCTTTTCTATTATAAAAAGTATAACCGGATGTGAAGCAATTTTTCGTTAAATACATATGGTATTTTGAAGTTATCCTTTAATTTTTAATTGAACACTTTATTTATAAGTTTCTTATAAAATTGAGCGATTCTCCAAAATTAAACGAATGTAGATTTAAAGATAATTACGACGAAAATTACGAAGAAAACTGTTTTGCTAATGCAAAGGTTTTTAAATAGTACCAAATTATAAGAAAAATATTTTGTTTTTAAATTGATTATTAATTATTTTATAATTGAAATCATGACATAACAATTAAAAAATTATAAAATGTAACTGACAGGTTTCGAACAGTAGTGAATTGTAAAAACGAAATTTTTAGTTAATTGAATTTTTAGCTGACCATACAGCTGTTTCGAGTAATGGCTGTTTCTAGCGAATACCCCATCCTTGTAAATATTTCCTTCTCCTTCCTTCTCATTTTCCCTTCCTCCTCAATGCATTAGGCAAATCTGCTATACAGATGATTGTCTCATCTGCATGAGGTCCAACTTCCCCAGTTGAAACTACATTGAGCTTAACAATTACCTTAGGACTCTCTCTGTTTACTACGTTACTACGGTAAGTGGAAGATTAAGATCAATGCCCTAAGAGGTTCCGTCTTCACGACAGCCCTTATGGGCCAGTGTGCTGATCGCGTTTGGAACATTAAAACCTCGAAATAAACTGTCGTATAAAAGGTGTGTTTTGGATACTGTCAAGATATCGGAAAATATAAGTCCGAGTGCAGTGCTGTTCGAAGACTTTTATGATTTTTATATGTGCGGGAGAAATTTTTTTGTACCTGTGGAGATTTTTTTTATTTTTGTAAATTTTCGTGAATTTAAAATTGTGAATGAAAGGTACTGAAGGAGATTAAATAAAAAGATTCAAGATTTTTAACAATTAAAAACAATACATATCCTTGTTTAAATAGTGATAATAAATTAACATATCAATGAAATACGTGTGATGAAATTAATCGAGCATAGGTGTTCCAACACTCATTTATAATAATTCCAACAATCATCTGCAATATTAAAAAGTTGGACTATATGAATAACGGCAGCTTTATACATCGTTAAAATAATGAAATACCGAGACGGTGGACAGGTATTTAAAAAGTGACGGAGAAGATAACCGAGTCCACATTTGAAAAGATCTTATAAGCAGTACAATTCCTACATATTTTATTATTATATTAAAAAAAATTTAATTTTAAATTTAAAATTTATAAGAAAAATTTTGTTTTGAGGAGAAATCTTGAACACAATAATACGAATCAATTAAAAATTTATGCATATATATATATATATATAATTTAGTTAAACATAAATTAAGAAAAGAAATTTAAATAATTAAAAACATATTTTTTTGTTATGATATAAAACAATTTATTTTATAAATAAGTGGTAATTAAAGTGAATTTAAAAGCAAATGTTGTTTTAATCAATATCGGTAAATGAAATAAGTGCATATTATTTTTATACAATGTAAAAGTTTAAGGAAAATAATTACATAGAAATTACAAAAATTATTGAAAAACCTTAAAAGAAATTAATTTATAAACCATATATATGAATGATATATAATGGTTTAAAATACATAAAAGCACCACAACATCAAAGAAAATTTCTATAAACTCAAATAATTTAGAGTTTCATTTGTTTCAAATACATTTTTTTTCTTAAAAGTTTCAACCAAAAACAAAGAACATACATATATATCTCGAAAAGACAGATTCTTTCCATATGGGCGAAAGAGATTGCAGACCAAATAGTGAAAGGCGTACGTGAATAAGGCGCGAATTAGCTGTTTATAGCAAAGCAGCTTAACTTTGCAGTTGAGCTGGTTGTATAATTATTTATATTTTTAACGTCTAATCAATGAAATAAATGGAATTGTCTAAGCGGCTTGTTATGATTGCAGTCACGTCATGGCAATTGTTGTTGCTTTTAATGCAAAATGAAGTGAGATGCTAGTGTCAAATTTTCATTTTGTATTGAAAGCAACAACAGAGTGTTGGAAGGCTTTCCTTCGACACCGTATGGTTCGAAGGTCTGATGCACAAACTATGCCACTTCGGCTTCCTTACAACACTCTGTAGTGTTATCCACCAGTTCCTTTCTAATAGATCCTTCGACAGATAAGTTCGAGAATACTTCGTAAAACCGAATACGAACAGCACTACTATAGAATACTATTTGTTTCATAAAAAAATGTTTGAAAACCTTTCTGTTTTTAAAGAATCCTTATTATTCCATTAGCAATATATATTATGGACACATAATTAAGAAAATATTGGAAAAAGTGTACATAACCTTCTTAAAATTTATTATATAAAGAAATATTAGGGGTATTCAGGATGTCTGTGCATCCTTGCAAACTCAAATAATCGAGAACACACGTTGTGCATATTAGTCTTGATTGATTGAAATTGAAAATATATAATTTCAATCATTATCACAAAGTATATACCGAATTAGTCTTGTTAAATAATAAAAATAATGTAGCTCATTATTTATTATTTAAATGAATAATAAATGAATACTGAGCACAAATAGTGCTCTAAACAATATAAGAAATAGGTGTGAAAACAGTCTAATGTGTATACTATAAAGATTCTATCTCTTTATATTATTTACCCTCCTTTTTATTCACCTAAGCTACTACCTAGCCACACCTAAGTATCTATATAAAATCATGATTGTAATAATTTCATTAACTAATTAAACTCAAACTAATTTTTAATTAAAAAGAAGTCAATAAAATATTAATTTATACTTATAGGTAATGCTGCTTGTAAATCCTACCAAAGCTGTTACTGTACCATATACAATTTGGAATATCATGACATCACGCGGCTTATTGCTTATTGCTTACAGCTGATTAGGTCTATTAAATTATGCTATATGGAGTCAATGTCGTCACTAAAATACTAGACCTGTCGGATTCTGTATCTGATGTTTTTTTTCGCATTTCATACGAATTACTAGTGCGATGCATGTTAAAAAACTCATTGATGAAATCGAAATTTATTTGACAAAATGTATGCGATAAAAAGAAGGAAATTATTTTTAATCCATTTAAATGTGGGCTTAAAATTTCGAATTTAGATAAAAAAAGACTTAAATGGAAAGTATTATTAACGGGAAGTTTAACCAAATATGCACCTATCCAAGAAGAAATGTTTATGCAAGGCGAATATATGTTACAACCTCTCTAATGACAAATGAAGAGTGATTGTGAAAATAAAAAAGAACAATTTCATTTACAAAGGAAAAATGTACCTATATTTGTATTTTAAAATTTATATACAATATAAGAATATTTATGTCCCATTTAGATATAACTGAACGACATTACTGAGGATATTTTCTTAATAAAATAGAATACTAGAACAAGGAAAGTCACCAATGTTGCAAATTTTATTGTCCATTAAACTAGGGTTCTATCAATTCTGGAAAATAGTTTCATCGCTTATTATGGATTGTAGAAAATAAAAATCTTTTCTATTATAAAAAGTATAACCGGATGTGAAGCAATTTTTCGTTAAATACATATGGTATTTTGAAGTTATCCTTTAATTTTTAATTGAACACTTTATTTATAAGTTTCTTATAAAATTGAGCGATTCTCCAAAATTAAACGAATGTAGATTTAAAGATAATTACGACGAAAATTACGAAGAAAACTGTTTTGCTAATGCAAAGGTTTTTAAATAGTACCAAATTATAAGAAAAATATTTTGTTTTTAAATTGATTATTAATTATTTTATAATTGAAATCATGACATAACAATTAAAAAATTATAAAATGTAACTGACAGGTTTCGAACAGTAGTGAATTGTAAAAACGAAATTTTTAGTTAATTGAATTTTTAGCTGACCATACAGCTGTTTCGAGTAATGGCTGTTTCTAGCGAATACCCCATCCTTGTAAATATTTCCTTCTCCTTCCTTCTCATTTTCCCTTCCTCCTCAATGCATTAGGCAAATCTGCTACACAGATGATTGTCTCATCTGCATGAGGTCCAACCTTCCAACACTCTGTTGTTGCTTTTAATGCAAAATGAAGTGAGATGCTAGTGTCAAATTTTCATTTTGTATTGAAAGCAACAACAGAGTGTTGGAAGGCTTTCCTTCGACACCGTATGGTTCGAAGGTCTGATGCACAAACTATGCCACTTCGGCTTCCTTACAACACTCTGTAGTGTTATCCACCAGTTCCTTTCTAATAGATCCTTCGACAGATAAGTTCGAGAATACTTCGTAAAACCGAAGACGAACAGCACTACTATAGAATACTATTTGTTTCATAAAAAAATGTTTGAAAACCTTTCTGTTTTTAAAGAATCCTTATTATTCCATTAGCAATATATATTATGGACACATAATTAAGAAAATATTGGAAAAAGTGTACATAACCTTCTTAAAATTTATTATATAAAGAAATATTAGGGGTATTCAGGATGTCTGTGCATCCTTGCAAACTCAAATAATCGAGAACACACGTTGTGCATATTAGTCTTGAAAATATTTAGAACAGATGATTTTTGTTTACATATTTATTTGCTTGTAAAATATAACCCAGATTCGATAATTTGGCATATAATAATTTCCACTAATGCCAAAAACAAGTGAAAAGCAGAATTATAAGAAAAGAAATTGTTTTTGTAAAATCAAATAAATTTGTACATGCAACGATGCACAGACATCTTGAATACACCTATTGTACATTTTTTTTTTATAGTTTTATAGTCTGTAAATAAACAGTTTTAAGATGCCTTATTTTAATTTCTGTTTGAAGTCTAGCACTAAATCCATTTTAATTTACATAATCCTAACCTCATATAAGAAAAAATTTTACAACATTTTGTTCTAAAAGCCTAATGTGGAAGTTGTTTGT